AACAAGGGGCTTAATGTAAACCACCCCCTTCTTTGAGGAAGAAGGTCAGAATGTCGCAAGGATAGTCCTTGTGAAAAGAAGGAGCTTCTTTGCGCTTCAAGCTGTCGAGGGAAATTAATCCTCAGCCCTCATATAGAGGCTTGGATAGTTAGAGTATGGTTTTGGGGTATATCACAGAGTCGAGCTACGAAGGAACACTGGGAACATTTTTTTGCTAATCCTTGCGATGCCCGTAGTACTCGTACAAAAAGCCCTCACACACACACACACCTACACACCCACGCAAATCCTGGTATGGCCCTGTAATACCCGTATACTACTTGCAACCTTCATAAGACCCTTCCAAACTAGGACCCGGAGTGGGCCCTTATGCCCTTTTTTAGAGTTTAGGTTCTGTTACAATCCCCTTTAACCCAGCAAGGACACCCTTTTTATTCCTGGGATACTTTCGTCTAAATCCCTTATCAACGCCCTGGAGGCCTTGGAAAAACCGCAGCACCCGGACTTGGTCTGCCAGCGCGTGGCGGACATGGCTTCCCAGCAGATCGCTGCTCGCCGGAAGACCCGACAGAGGATGTCCAATAGTATAGGGGCCTGAAGCCAATACTATTTTGGGGGCTCCTTATCATAATGATAGTATAATGGGCCCCCAAACCCTGTTCTACTTATTAAGGCCCATATATGAGTTCTCAAGGGTTTAGGGTTTACGGTTCATGGTGGTCAGGGTTCAGGACTTAAGGGGATCTTAGGGTGTATGGCCTGCGATTTCGAGATGTTTCTTTTAGATCGTGTGCTGTGTTGATGCTGTTGGTCTGAGAATGATGGTTGTGTGGGGGGGGGGGGGGTGATGATGATGTTGATGGTCAAGTTTCTGATCAAGGTCATGATGGTGGTTAAAAGTCTGAACAATGTAGAAGGCACATCCACAACAGTGGTAATAGCAGTAGATTGAGACGCAGCCATAGCCGCAGTTTGTTCTCGCATTCCCAGTCTTTTTCCTTCTCGTCGTCCGTCGTTGTCGTCGTCGTGGCATGCTCGTCGTTGTGACTCTCCGAGAGAAACGCTACGCCCCAAACCCTTTAAAATCGTTGAAGAGCCATTGCAAATCCAGAACTCCCCCTACCATAGTTTCGAAGACCGAAGCCTCAAAGAGTTAAACCCTAAACCCTAAGACCTAAACCCTAGACCCTCTTAAACCAACAGCCCAAAACCCTAAGCTCCAAAGCCCAGGCGTGCTACCGCCGGCAGCAGGGCAGCTGGCTCGAGGGGGCGAAGACCTGGCTCTTGCAGGAGCAGAGGGTTTAGGGTTTTCGGCTTGGGGTTATAGGGGTTGTAGGGGTTAGAGGGGTTGTAGGGGTTCGGGTTTAGCGCTAAGGACTCCGTAAGGATCATGAGACTTAGTAAGCATGGTTATAAGTACCTCAAGCAGGGGTAAAGTTTAGTCAGAAGTGTATGTACCTCAAATTAGAACCCTACTTGCTAAGCTCTCTGATCCCTTATGATTCTTTAAGTCGTCCCAGGGACTTCGGAATCACTGAATATCTAACTACGCACTACTCCTGAAAATCCTGAAAAGCACGAGGTAATCAACAAACTTGCCCGATAGCTTTTGGTAGTGTAGTAGGAAGCCCTACATAGCTGAGGGAGTTCCCGAGGATGTTCCCGAGGAATATTCCTGAAACAATACCGGTCTGAGGGATCCGATGAGGGGTTCCATAAGGATGTGCTGAAGGTTTGTGTAAGGGTTTTTTCCTTGCGGGTGTCCTCATCCCATTATTTTCGTTGGTGTTTTCCCAGATTCTGTATTCTAGGGGCCTTAATAAGTACCTATACTATTTCTGGGTGCCTTATTTTAATTATAGTATACTGGGCCCCGAAAACCTAGTCTAATTATGAAGGCCCCTCTATTCTCGCGCCCACTGCCAGGCCTCCAGCGGCTTCGACGTGCCGGACTTGGTGTGTGCTCCACAGCGCTTGCGCGACCCTGCGGAGACTGAAGGACCCGAGACCCGAAAATCGGCAAGGCCCTAAATTAAACCTCATACCCTAAAAACCCCTTAAAAAACCCCAAAGCCTTAAAAACCCTAAGCAATAAACCCTAAACCCCTAAACCCTAAACCCCCAAAAACCACCAAAAAAACCCAAACCCTAAACACCCTGAAGCCGAAGCCTAAGCAAAGACCCTAAACCCTACACCCTAAGCCTAAACCCCAAAACCACAAAATCCAAAAAACCTTGAAGCCGAAGCCTAAGCACAAAGACCCTAAACCCTACCACCCCCCAAAACTCGAAACCCTAGAAGCACCAAACCCTACTGTTGATGATATAAATCCTGCATGACCCATAATAAGGAATATACCATAATTCCCATATATTCCTTATTATGGGTCATGCAGGATTTATATCATCAAGCCCTAGCAGTGCCAGAAGCCCCAAGTCGCAAACCCTGGTGGAACACAAGAGCCCTGAGAGTTAGGGTTTAAGGTTTAGGGTTTAAGGTTTAGGGTTTAGAGGGTTTAGAGGGTTTAGAGGTTTAGTGTTTAGGGTTTAGAGGGTTTAGAGGTTTAGGGTTTAGGGTTTAGGGTTTAGAGGGTTTAGAGGTTTAGGGTTTAGGGTTCTAATGGAACAGAGGAGCCGTGACCTCACCTTTAGTTAGGAGGGAATGGAAGAATGGTAGTAATAGGACTTATAGTTGTACCCCATTCCTCCATTCCCTGTAAGACAAGAGCCCTGGCGTGGATGTCTGTTTTCTCCAGGAAGGCTCTTACCTGTTGAAGAACCCTCGTTCTATAGCAGGAACCTCTTCAACCCGAAGGGGGTTCTGAATTTCTCCAGTCTTTGGAGGCATCCGCAGAGATGCACTGGCACTGGAGAAGGCCTTTGAGGCCAAAGCCCAAACCACTAAAGTTTAGGGGTTTAGGGTTTAGGGGTTCAGGGCCTGAACCCTAAACCCAAAACCCTCAACCCTAAGCCGGGAAGCCTTTTTGGGCCCTGCGGACGACCCAATTGTTGGGACAGTCTCCCGAGAAAGCTCTTGTAACAGCAGAACGCCCTGATTGAAGTCTTACAAGATTAGCGGAGCTTTTTAGAGACCCAAAGGGATCCGAAATGGGAGTTTCCGAGAATTAAGGGTACCTTATTCTGGGGTTAAGCTCCTACTGTTTAGGGTTTTATATCAGGATCCCGGATTTTCGGAAACTTCCAAATAGAGCTCTTATACACTGAAAGAGCTGCAAGCGAGCTTTATGCAACCTGCGAGAACTGCAAGAGAGCTTCTATAATCTCTTAGAGAACCATCGAAAATCTCTTATATTCTAACCCTTAAAGAATCCCAGTCTTATTTCGTGGTTATAGGGGTTTAAGATTGTTGTATAGAGCCTTCCAACCCTTTGCTACTTTGCTTTAGGTTTAGCTCTAGTGACTCTAGTGCTTATGTAGCGGTCAGGGCATGTTATGAAGGCTTTCCCTAATCCCTAAACCCTAAACCCTAAACCCTATACCCTAAACCCTAAACCCTACACCCTAAACCCTAAGCCCTAAACCCTAAGCCCGAAATAGGAGGTAAGCCTCGGACTTTGAGATGCTGGGCTGAGGATTCGCTTGGGGTTCAGGGTTCTGGGGAGGAAGGGTTGGAACGGTTGATGATATAAATCCTGCATGACCCATAAAAAGGAATATATGGGAATTATGGTATATTCCTTATTATGGGTCATGCAGGATTTATATCATCAACCGAAGTACAACACGAAGGCACTGACCTGGCAGTTCCGAACTGACGGCACTCTGTCTCTCCGCTCCGCACCCTGTACCTCCCGCAGCGAACAGACTCGAGTTTGAACTCTGGATAGTCCGGAAACCCTAATGTAAGCCCTAAGTCTCTCAGTTTCAAAACCCCTGAATCACTGAATTCAAGCCTCCGCAAATTCCATGCTAAACTCCTGACCCCCATAAGTCCGCCACACACTCAAACTCCGAGCCCGAAGCCAGAAAGAGCCAAAACAGCTTGAAAGGGCTCCAAAGAGTTCTGAAGACCCCTACCGAGCCCCCACTCGCCCAAGCCTAAAAGCACACAGGTCCGTTCCGGCTGCGAGGGGGTGACGGCCTACTGTGCCGCCGTGGCCGCCGGCTTGGAGGGGCGGCCCAAGGAGACTCATCCGGATGAAGGTGTAGGGTTTCCAGGGTTTCGGGATTTAGGCTGTGGGTTTAGCTTCAGTAGGCTAAGGGTTAAGGAATTAGGGTGTTCTTTCGGTCTCGGGAAGCTTTTTGGGGAGATGTATTCTGGCATTTCGGGGCTTGTGTCGAAGATTTAGCGAGCTTTGAAAGGTTGTCAACTTTACCGAAGCCCTACAGAATGTAGAGGGATTTCAATCGCTCGAGGTTTCTGGAGAGTAGACCTTTCAAGCCAAATAACTGCTTTGCAGAACTCTTGCTTGCCAGGGCAGTTTTTGGTACACAGGTTGCCTTTTAGGGTTTAGGGGTCTAGGGGTTCAGGGTTCAGCGGGGGCTCGTGGGCATGACGACTTCAGGATCGACGGCCTTAAGGTTTTTGGGGCGTCATAGGTTGGGCTTTCGAGGCTTGGGGATGTCCCAGAGAGCCCAATACCCCGTAATTAAGGAATATACCTGAAACTACAAGCGGGTTCATATGATGATTTAAGCTATATTCCTTCATTAAGAGGTATTGGGCTCTCTGAGCTTGTGTTTCATCAAGGTCGAGTCTCCAACCCTCGCACCCGAAGTTCTCGAAGCCCTTCGGGTAGAGCTGAGCTCCTGCAAATTCTTTTTTCAGGAATGTGAATCTGCAAGTGTAGCATCCTTCAGGCAAGCGCATCCTGAGCTGCAATGAAGCTTGCACGCGCACCTCAGCTTTCGTGACGTGACTTGTGGCCCAGAGCTCCATGATGAAGGTAGGGCCTCGTAGGTAAATTCAGGCTTCGGGCTCCGCCAGGCTCGTTTGCAACCCGGAACTCAGAGGAAGAAGCCATCAACCGCTCCGTAGTATGGCGTCTCCGCAAGCTGGAGGGACCGCTTATGTCTCTGTCCCGGTGGCATTGGCGTACGGAGTGCCTGGCATTGGTTTTGGAGCTTTCGTGGTTATGATAAGCTTATACCTTCCAGCACTGTATGCAGACACTCTCGGGGTGCCTTTGAGCCAGATTGGAGCAGTGACGACTGCGGTGCAGATCTTCGACGCCATCTCCGACCCCCTCTTAGGCTACCTCTCCGACCGCTGCCGAACTTCGTCTGGGCGGCGCCGGCCCTTTGTGCTCCTTGGTAGTTGGGGCCTCGCAGCCTCTTTCGTGGCGCTTTTCTCCCCGCCGGATTTTGGCAACCCGAACTCGGCGCTCGTCTTTGCGGCAGCCTTCGGCCTTGTGACACAGATGTTCTTGACAGTGGCTCGTATACCGTGGATGGCGTGGGCCATTGACTTAACACCGGAGTACGATGCTAAGACGAAGCTGGTTTCGGTCCGGGAGTTCATGTGGGTGCTCGGCGCTATGCTGGGCGCCGTACTACCAAGTGTTGCGGGAGCTCTCCTTGGCGATTCCGGACCACTCCGGCTGACCCTGGCTGCTTCTTTTTGGGCCTTCTTCATGGTCGTAAGTAGCGTGCTGTGTTTCTGCCTGGTGCCCGATACAACCGCAGTACCAGCTCTAGGAGAGAATCGAGACGGCTCTGCCAGCTCGCAGATGTTTTTCCTTCGCAACATCTCTGGTTGCCGCCCGGCCATCGCTCTCTACGCAGCGACGGTTTTGGCACTCATGGCCACTACAGGCAACGCATTGCTCTATCCCTTCTTCGTGAAGTACGTTCTCGAAGATGAAGGAGGGGCTCGGCCGACATGACAGTCTTTCTCAGGGGTCCCATGGTAGTGTGTTCCTTCTCGGTTCAGTCGTGTACGCCACCAGAAACCCTGAACCTAAATCCTCCTCCCCTACACCATGCAGGTGTCGAATGGCTCTTGGGTCTGTACATCTTCCTTGGTGCAGTTTTCGTTCCTTTTTGGGCTTGGGTAGCCAAGAAGTTTGACAAGAAGATGACCCTGACCTTCATCACTCTGGTCCAGTTTTCAGTGCTAGGCCTCATCTTTGTGGCGGTTGAGCGTCAGGCCTTGGGGATGTATGTTGCCTGCATCATCTCAGCCGGATCCGTGATGGGAGGGAGCTCCGTAGTCCGCTTCTCCATGATGGCAGATGTCGCGGATGCACTGCAGCTACTGACCCGGGGGCATCGCGATGAAGCTAAGCTTGTGGCGCTTTTCGACATCTCCTCGAAGTTGGCCGCATCCTTGCTGGTGGCCCTGGGATTTCTGGTGATCGATACTTCGGGCTTTAGGGCTGATATGGTACCCCAGCCGGAATCTGCACGCTTAGCCATCCGGATATTCTATTCATTGGTGCCCAGCATCTTGGCGCTGCTCTCTGCGATGGTGATCTGGGCTCTCTACCCTCTCGACCGGAACCTTAGGGGTACTTAGAAATATTTTTTAATTTTTTGTTATTATAATACCTAAGAAACAGCTAAAATTATGATTTTTGCTAGGGTTCTAAGTTCAGTATAGGAAGAAGCATGCGGAGATTCTGGTGGAGCTAAGTCTGCTGCAGAAAGCAGAGCCCGCCTTGAATGCAAAGGTCTTGGGTGCCGAAGAGGGCGCGGGCTGAGGTGTTTTCAACTGTCCGATGCCGCTCCGGAAATTTAGCCTTCTTCGGTGAGGTCTGTGGTTTAGCGTAATAGCATATGGGAGTTTGAGAAAATTAGGGGTACCCTATTTGAGGGTCCTTATAATAAGGATCCTACTATTTAGGTTACTATATAAGGGTCCCCTATTTTCGGAAACCCCCATATAGAACAGTGGCTGCTTACAGGTGTTCAGTCATTCTTTCACCTACGTGTGGGGGTGCAGGCAGGAGGTTTAGGATTTGAGGTGTTAGCTTTTGGTTGCGGGCCCTGCCAAGAATTTTCCATGGCTTTTCCACTCGAGCGGATATTTGCCTAGGTCTGGGGGCTTGAGCAATCACCAATACCATGCCTAAGGGTTCCTTTGTGACATCTTGTTCTATTTTTTGTTCTTGAATATACTTCTACGGTAGCAATAGTGCTTGAAGCCTTATTGTAACTATTATATATGGCCCTAGTGTTCGCGGAACCTGCTCCTTGACTGCCAAAGGCACATCAAGGGCAGGAACACTTCCCTGCCAGTATGTGGCCGTGAATCATATTCATGCAGGGTTTAGGGTGTAGGTTTTAGGTCAGCAAGACTGGTACGTTTGCTACTGCAAGAAGTAAGAAAGCTAGTTAACATACAATTAGGCAGAGATTCATGCAAGGCTTGCTGCTAATTGATGAGCCGCGCAAACTCTGATGCTCGCGTGTCTCCCAAGTCAAAAGCGGCAACCAACTCTGCGTATGTTTAGTTAGAGTTTACAGTTAGTTTACAGTAGAGTTTAGCTGGGGCCTCGGGTTCAGGGTTTAGGGTGACAGGGCTTCGGTTTGTTGGGTTCAGGGCGTAGGGCTGGGAACGCAGGGACTCCAATATCCCTTAATTAAGGAATATACCTTAAATCATATAAGGGCTCCTACTATAATCTAAAGTATATTCATTAATTAATGGATATACCTTAAATCATATCAGGGATCCTACTATAATTTTAGGTATATTCCTTAACTAAGGGATGTTGGAGTCTCTGGGAATCGACTCCAAGTCCCGACAAGGAGGCCTTCAACCCTTGCTCCGCGCGGGACGCCCACATCATGCTGCAGCTGAAGCGCACGCTCGAGGCAGTCGGATCAGTTTTTGAGGTTTAATTCAGGTCAGGGCTAAGCCCTAAACCCATAACGGCCCATAACCCGAGAAACACCTAAACCCTGAACCCCTGAACCCTAAGGTCAGCGGCTTATTGCTTTAGGGTTTGAAGGCCCCATGCCTTAAGCCCGAAGCCCGATACTGTATAAACCGTAAGCCCGTTCTTTTTCACAACACTAAGAGTACCCCGAGACTCCATTGCAGTTCCTTGTTTTGGTTAACCAAAATCTCTATTATAGGGTCCTAACCCTAAAACTGGTTAACCAAAGCAAGGAACTACAATGGAGACTATAGGTAGGTCCAGTCGGAAGACTTCACCCGGACCTGTATTCGTGTCTTCCTAGTCGAGGCAATCTCCTAAGAGTCGTTAGACCCCTCGACGGGGGGCTTCCGTCTGTTGGCAGAAGGCCCAACATAAAAACCCGAGACGCTCAAGTCAACACCCTAAGTCCGAAACTCCTGATATGGGGGCCTTGATTAGAATATGGATTTTGGGTTATATCTAAGGAACCCTAAGGAACAATTTTGGCAATTTTTGCGGCTTCTAGAATAAATCGTATTACACTCATATTACATCCAAACCCGACGGGACCCACAAACCCTAAACAGCACATCCTAAATCCTGACCCAAAGATTCTGAAACCCAAACCACGACTTCCTCAAGCCTCGCCAGATACCGGAATTTAAAATCTAAATGAGTTTTTCAAGCGAAGACTAGTTCCAGAGTTTAGGGATTAGTTCCAAGAACCCACTGCCCCTCCTCGGAAGTAGACTGCAGGCTTGCAGTTCAACATCCCAGAGCCTTTTTGAACATCTCCAGTAAACCCGAAGCCCTACCCCAGACCCCAGAAGTATATAGACTAATAGCCTTTTTATAGGTGTTGGGCCATTAAATTTACCTACTTTTGGGGGGTTGAGGACTGAACCCCCAAGAGGTGATCAGAGGGTTCTCTGAGCCCCCCGTCATTGTCTTTTGGAATGTCTCAGAGTTGTAGGTTTTGGGTGTGGGTGCCCTCGAAGCTTAGTGCCCAAACCCGATATGGGAGTTTCCGAAAACAGGAGACCCTAACATAGTACCGTAACTAGTAGGATCCTTATTATAAGGACCCCAATAAAAGGTACCCCTAATTTTCGGAAACTCCCATATCCTGAAATCCGTAGCCCACAAGCCTTCAAGCCCCAAAAGCCCCAGCCCCCACACCCTAAATCCCCAAAATGAAAACCCCCCAAGCCCTCAACCCCCCGAAGCCCTGAACAATCCTAAGACCCTCACCCCTTAGTTCGAAAGCCCTCCAACCTCCAAACCCCTATCGCCGACACCCAAAACCACCAAAGTTATGATCCTCCAAACCCTAAACCCTAAACCCTAAACCCCTAAACCCTAAACCCCTAATCCCTAAACCCTCAACCGTAAACCCTAAACCCTCAACCCTAAACCCTAAACTCTCTTAACCTTAAGGCACTGAGCCGAGTTTTCATGCCCAAAGCACTGAGACGAGGCTGCGACCACGCCAGACGATGCCGACGGCCGCGCGCCGTGCGGCAAGCGTCTGGGGCTGATCTTTCGAATAGCGCTGGAGGCGGGCCTTATCTTGGGGTCCTTATAATAAGGGTGCTATATTAGGGTCCCCTATTTTCGGAAACTCCCATATACAGTAGAAGCCCAAAAGTTGGAAACCCGATAGCCTGAATCGTTAAGAGTAATGTATAAGGAATCGCAGCACTATTTGGCCTTTATCAGGTTTCCAACTTTATGGGATTTACTGTAGGGTGTAGAGTTAAGGGTTGGGGGCAAAGCGTTGAGAGTTCAGGGTTTTCAAGGGGGTTCACAGGGGGTTGTGGTTTCCGGTCGGATTGTACAAAAGATTGGGGCGAGGTTTGGGAGAGTTTCGACCCGCAGCCGCGAGCCCGAACACAAACAAAATCGACCCAAGAGGAAGGTTTAGTGAGTGAGGGCTTCGAGATCATGAGCCCGAACACCCTAACGGCTCTCAAGCCCTTAAACGGACCGTACAAGGCTGTGAGCCGCCAAAGCCCTGATTGCAAATTCGAAGGCCCTGCAATAAACCCTGAGCCCCGAATAAACCCCAAAGGCCTACCGATTCCCCAGCCTGCAAAGTTGGAGGTGGGAAAGGCCGTGCGGAACCCAGACCGTTTGCCGCAGCTGGAGCATCTACAGGCAGGACCTTAACCCAAAACCCTAAACCCTAAACCCTAAACCCCTAATCCCTAATCCCTAAGCCCCTACACCCTAAACCCTAATCCCTAAACCCTAAACCCAAAACCGTAGGTTCCTTATTAGGAGGTCGGTCGTGGGGTTTGGCCAAGGGTTTGAGGGTTTCGGGCTGGATCTTGGGGTCCAGGGCCTAGGGGAAAGGCTAGTCAGTTTGCATGGGTATTCTTTGTGTCGGCATTGCCCTGAGAGCCCAATACCCCTTAATTAAGGAATATGGCTTAAATTATATAGGGCTTCATATTATGATTTAAGCCATATTCCTTGATTAGAGGGTATTGGGCTCTCTGGGTGGGGGGTCAGCATGTTTACGCATTGCGATGCGTGCGACCAGTGCGAGAGCCGGCGAGCACATCCCCGAACCTTCCCAGAGACTCCAATATCCCTTAATTAAGGAATATGCCTTAAATTATAGTAGGATCCCTGATATGATTTAAGGTATATCCCTTAATTAATGAATATACTTTAGATTATAGTAGGATCCCTTGTATGATTTAAGGAATATTCCTTAATTAAGGGGTATTGGAGTCTCTCACCTCGACCCGAAACCTGAAAGCCCTTAACCAGAACCCCATGCCCAAGTCGTAACCCCAAACCCTCCCCCCAAGCCATATCCCAAATCCAATAACCCTAACCTTGTACCACAAACCCCTAAATCCAAAACCATATCACCCCTAAGCCCTAAACCCTAAACCCCCGTGTCTACGACCCACCAAGAGCGTTACCCTACCCTAAGCCTTAATACTCTCAACAATCCGAGACCCCAGACTCCCAAATACCAGCATCTGCTAAACCAAAACCTTAAACCTCAACGCCTAAATCCGAAGCCCTAACGGTTTAGGGTTTAGGGTTTAGGGTTTAGGACCGCCAGGCCTATGGCGAGGGTCGATTGGCGAAGGCTCCACGCAGGTCAGCAGCCGATGCGGCAGAGGTCGCGGAGAGGCCGCCTCTGGGTCTAGCACGGTTTAGGGTTCAGGCTTTAGTAATTTAGGGCTTAGGGTTGAGGGTTCAGGGTTTACGTGTGTAGAGTTTCGGGGTGTAGGGTTTAGGTTAGGGGTTTAGGGTTTAGGGCTTCGAGGGGTTTAAGGGGTGGGGTTTAGGCTTACAAAGGTTCCTTGAAGGTGTCCTTTAAGTGTCGAATAAGGTTTAGAGTTCGGGGCTTCAGGGTGTCGGATTTGCTTTTAGGGTGTGCTTAGTTTAGTTATAGCAATATTATAGTGTCATCATCGTATTGTTGTAGTACTGACAATTTTTGGGTTGGGTGTGTAGGTTATAGGAGTTTGAGTAGGTTTTGAGAACAGGTTTTCAACCCTAAACGTTACACCCTCAACCCCAAACCCAGATCCAACACCCCAAAACCCAATGAACGATGTCCTATCATGTAATTCCGTAAAGTGCACTTTCGAGTTCGTTTGAACTCCAGCCTCTTAGGTGATATCTAGACCTCCCCGGATGGTCTCAGGACGGTTCTGCACGGTGTTCAGCAGGTGTTCAACAGGCGCATGTTTTTGTCCAGACTGCTGCTGATCAATTACGGCCATCCTTGTTCGCGTAACCTTCAACCCTAAACAAAAATCTGAAGTCCTGAACCCCGGAGCTTAAGCCCAGATAAATCGAGTTCAAAC